CCTTAACCTCCGGTGCCGTATGATCTTTGTATATCTCCCAAAATGAGCTATCATATCTATGGCTCCTGAATCGGAATGTTTTAATGTTATGGATCTTGTTCTCAAATACAGCTTTTGACCTATGGTTTTGTTGAAGGTATATTACATTTTTTTGTACCGGCCTCGGTTGAAAATGTTTTAGGATTATATTGCGAGCTAGATGAGCTAGCCATTGCAATCTTACATCCGGATTTCACAAACAAAATCAACAAAATAAACAATATACAATCCTACATTTAGATTTCACAAACAATTCAATTCGGCCAAAAAAAATCAATACAAAAGAAAAAAAACTAAACTTCAACATATATATAAGGTAGAATATTTTCAGGGTAAAAATTAAATTTCCTTAACATTAAAATTCACAATTCGGCAAAAAAAAAAAAAATCAACACAAAATAATGTATTAACGAAACTGCGGATTTCACAATTCCAATAGACGGTGAAATAAAATAATCATTTCACAATTCACGCCGACTGAAAAAAAAATTAATGGACTGAAACAAATTACCGAATCCAACACAAACCATAAACCAAATTCACAATTCATGCCGGACTGAAAAAAAAATTAATGAGCAAAACCTTACAGGAATGGAGTCCCTGAATTGTATATGGTGGAGGGAGTCGCCAGGAACGTCGTCGGCAGTGTAGGGAGTGTCCGGGGGAGGGGGGTGTCACCGGCAGTGTAGGGAGTCGCCGGGCGTGTAGGGAGTCGCCGGAGGGGGAGATGGATTAGGGAGTCGCCGGATTAAGTAGATTTCAGACTGCCTGACGGAGGGGGGTGGGTCGCCGGACGGAGGAGAGCTCGATTTGGGTGGTGGATTGAGTGGACTGTGGGGGGCGGTGGAACGGCGAAGTTCATCGCCGGTTGGAGGTGAGGGTGGTTTTAGGGTTTTTAAAATCGGAAAATTGGGGAAAATGAATGGGGAAAGAGTTGACCGGCTTTATATAGTCCCGCCAAATTCGGATTTTGGAAATCCGAAATAGCAAAATTTGGATTTCAGGATTTTGAATCTCCTCTGCTTCTCCAAAAATTGCACACTCTCGGATAGATTTTCTGAGTACAGAGTTCCGAAATCCGAATATAGTACAAATCGGGATACGTCGAATTTCTGAAATCCGAATTATTTGGTGCAGAAGATCGGGCTTATTTCGGATTTCGGAAATCCGGGGATCAATAGAAAATGCCTACATTCAGATTTCGAAAATCCGAGCCCAATCCAACAACACAAAATGTCCAATTTTGTTTTTGCACAATCCCAAAACCTGTTATCAACAACTAGTATCTATTTTCATCACAATCACAGCACTAACAATTCAAGGCTAACATTACAATCCAAATTTATCAATACAAACTGTTATAGGACATCTAATTAAGCAGTTGTAATTCCAAATAACATGGCCATTCCAAATAACAAGAACACTAAATGTATTTTAATTCCAGCTGTCATTCACAGGTCTTCTATCTACTCCTGGGTGCGAGTAAGGACAAGAATTGGCATCGTTACCTTGTTGTCCGCATCTCTAACATTTCCCCCGGCTCCAGCGTCCCCTGTAATCCATTTGCATTCTATGTCTCCTTTTTTGTTTTTGTCCCGGCCCTGCAAACAAGACGCTCATAATTCGGAATGATATTCCAATCGACCGTCGGCCATTGTTGCTCATCAGGAACCGGAACATAACCCGTCTAATCAAATTGTCTGTGCCATGCTGGAAGGCGCCACATACTATGGTATAGATCAATAGGTCGATTCCCTTTTTTTCCGGCAAACGGCGAGTGTGTGCGTACAAGGCATCCAGTACTCTTGCCATTTCCTGCACGAACACCTATATTCATCGTAGTTCACCGTATGCAAAGATGCACCCCTGCCACTTAGCCGTGTAGCAGTAACAACCCGTCACCTAGCATCATCACCATCAAAAGGGGAGGCATCAAAACTTGCTGCGTTGTCGTTCATTTTCTCGTATTTTTTCCATAACTCAGGAGGGATCGGTGTCATGCAATTTCTCGCACACAATTGTTCGTCTCTATAGAATTTCACGGTTTTTTATGAAAGGTTGCATCGATCAAGGCTCTAATTAGTAAAAATCGGATCCCTTTCAACACATTGTTATAACTCTCAGAAATGTTGGTTGTCTCTATGCCCCAACGGCGACGACCGACTTTCAATCAAGCCCGGTTACTCCCTCGAATCCCTCGAAGATACTCTCATGTAGTAGGTTTGAATTCAATAAGATCTGCCATCATACGGTTGTATTTCACTCTTGAAAGCGTCGTGTCCATCTTCCAACATAACCGCTTCACCTTTCTGCTATTATGTCGCGACACAAGATTACTGTGAACGTGGCGGAGGCAATAAAAGTGGCCACCATCCCCTAAATCACGTCATTCATCCATCTGTGACATTGTGCTCAACAACCTTGCATTCCGGTCGGATATCACACTTACGATTCTATCCTGCACAACCCACAACCTCAAATTGCTCATAGAAAATGTCCAACTCTCTACTATCTCCTCATCCATAATCGCAAATGCAACCGGTAAAATGTGCTTGTTTGCGGTATAGATCACCGCAACAAGCAATTTACTCTTGTATCCACTACGCAAGTATGTTCCATCGATACAAATGACCGGTGGACATTCAAGAAACATCGCAGCCACTGGCGCCAACGACCAGAAAACGTATTTAAATGTCCTATTTCCCCTGTTCCAACCTTCTCCCTCCTTCCATTACCACTGTACTACAGTCTCAGGATTAGTAAACTTAAGCACAACGATATACCTACACAACAAACGAGTCATAGTTAAAACATTTCAATACATGTAACCCAAAAATAAAATAAAATAATGCACATAATAATTATAAAAGTTGATATTTACCTAGGAAATTCTTCGAAATTCGAGGTCCAATCAGCATAGACCGCTTCTATGGCTTTCCTCCTCTCGTGCCATGCCCTTTTGTATGGCACATCTACTTTCAATAAGGTCTTCACATCTTTCTGTACCGAGGCTACCGTATAATCTACGTTGTCCTCAACCTTTCTCCATGAGTTTAGGAATCAAAGACGCGTCCACACACCGATTGTCATTATCATTCACGGGAGTCATACAATTATGTGCATCATGCTATCTCACAATTTCATGAAGGCCGTGATCTATCAAAGACACACGCATCTTCCACACATATGGTGGATCACCATCCTCACTTGGTACATTTAATGTTCTGCACCGCACAGCCCACGTCGTTGGACTACTCGCGGCAACTATATATCCTCTTTTATGATGGATGTTCCATAATTTCACAGCATGTTTTGCTTCTGATTAAGATTTGAAACAAACACCAATGTCCATTCCTTCGGGGCTCTCATCCCACATCTTAAGAGCAAACTCATCCTTGTCCACACACGACGCATCCCATTTCCCCATCTTACTATATACATGGCGTCGGGGCAATGGATTAAGATCCCTTTCTTCATTCTTCAATAATTCATCATCATTTTCCTCAAAATCACTATCTGCAGAGAACTCACGGTCTTCTTTGCTTTCGCTTGGAGCTATGTAGTCGGGATCCGACTCTTTCATGTAGTCATCTTGTGCAAATAAAGGTGTCTCCTCTTCATCACGGTTTCGAGAAGTACTAGCACGTTCCCCCCTTGGAAAACCACCAAATAACACATTCTCCAAACTCGTTTCTCTTTCTTCGTGAGTGATATCTTCCAAATCTATGTATAAATCCAAACATGACATTGGATCTACACAGTTCATGAACTCTACATGCACATCATTCTTGATCTTCACTACACACCTACCACCGGGACTATCGAAAATTACAGAAAGGTGGAGTTTCACGTGTGTTGGATCCAACCAAGTGTTATACAAATCTTACTAATCAATTCCGCATATGACAACCTTTCCTCAATAAACAAGTCATCATCCGGCATGTTCGAAAAAGCGTTGATGATACCATTCTCTATTACATACTTGCTTGTATGAAACAAATTAAGCATGTATGATACATTACATGCCATTGATAACTGTTTTTTTTTTAAAAAAAATCAACATTTAATCATTTCTTAATAACAAAATCAACAAATATACGATACATACTCCATTCATAATTCAAAAAACCTATAAAATCCTAAAATACTTAGAAATCAACTTCCATATCTCATGAACAACTAAAATTTTTCATCCCTAACCTCAAAATCAACACTTAAAATATCCAAAGAATCAATAAACAAAAACCCTAATCTATCATACATCATTCTAACAATCAAAATAACACAACAATAAACTAAATAACATGGTTTTGCAATCTAACCTCTTTCAAATAACGATCCCCACGTATCTAGTGGTAAGGTTGCATAAAAAACTCCAATTCGTCAACCAAGAGCCGTAGAAACAGAAACTCCAAATTCAGTTCTTGACTGAGAACTGTCTGATTTTTTTTTTCTTTTATATCACGTGAAACTCGGATTTAAGAAATCCGAATAAGCATGAAATTCGAATTTGCAAAACAAATCATACTAAGCTCGAATTTAGAAATCCGAGTTTAGTCAATTACGGATTTTTAATTCTATTTTTTGGTTCTCCAATTTATGACAGATGCCTACTTTCACCAACCAAAATTAAAGATAGTCGGATTTCTGAAATTTGAATACATTAATCTGGATTACAAAATTCCGGAGTTGAAATTCAAAAATTTCGCGCCTCAATTTTCCTTCTGTATTTTTTATTTTACTGAATTCGAATTTTACAATTCCGAAGTTCACTGTTCATTTTCTGACTTTTTTGACTGTATTTCCACAAAATGTAAATACTTATTATTTTAATATTATTTAGTTATTCGGATATGTGAAATTCGAAGGTTTAATTTTAATTAACTTTCGAATTTATGAAATTCGGAAGATATATATATATGTCTACACATATTTTAAAAAAATGAAATTTGTCCACCTTTATTTTAAAGAATTTTTTTAGGGAAAACCCCTACATTCTGGACGCCTTTTCAAAGCACGACGCTTAAGATTTAAGTTAGAATTCAGAAGTCAGACGCTGAGACCTTAATCACACACAACCGAACAAACACTTCCACCGCAAAAGAGCAAGCTCTTTGATTCCCTTTCGCACCTGGAGAGAAGTTATGGAAGCGAAATTTGTGGAATTTTTCCAGTCCGTTGGGAATTTTTTCACCGGCGGTGATCACATCCCTTGGGCCGATGCCGACATCGTAGCGGTAAGGTCTCATTTTTAAATATCGGAGTATTCCGTATTGTATGCGTCGGTTTTTCATATGGCGATATGATTCGACTTATTGAAATTGTGACTATGATCGTAGTACTAGGATTTGAACTCGAACTGTGTTAATTTGAGTGCCTGTTTGTTAGAGCTGATAATGCCTAGAATCGTGTAGATTGTTCCTCTCTGTTAGGTTTTTGAGGCATGGAAACACCGTTGATATTCCCATTGATTTATTTACGGGAATTGAAGTTTTTGATACTTGGAAAGGGAACCGATTTTGGGAAAATATAAATTGAAATCAAGTCTAGTAGTCTAAATTTTGGGGAAAATTGCTCTGCTCTGTTTGGGTACAGCATGATTTCTGTTCTTTTGCCTGTCTTTATTCAGTCTTCTCCTTATCATATTAGGATTCCACTGTTAGTGCTTTGATATTATGATCCTTGATGTCATATTAGGATTCCACTGTTAGTGCTTTGATATTATGATCCTTGATATCCATGTCCTCCTTGTGGTATCCAGTGCATACCGTTCTTAATTATGGAGATAAGGTTTTTTAGACCTATTACTACAAACTGATAACCAGATGACCATTCTTTTTGGCTTTAGTTTTATTTTTTTAATAGTATTCTCTGGTATGAAACTATGAATTTTTGTCTCTTGGTTGCTTAGCTTGCAATTCTTGAATATTAAGCTCTTTTATAATGTTTTGCAATGAATGAAACAATGATTTTACCATCATGTATTTGCAGGGCTGTGAACGTGAAGTTGCTGAGGCTGAAAAAGGCTCTTCTGATGAGCTTAAAAGAGAATGCATCATGCGTTTGTCATGGGCTCTTGTTCATTCCAAACGCCCTGAGGATGTACAAAGAGGCATAGCAATGCTAGAAGGTGAATTTCAATTCCCAACTTGGACTTTATATCTTTCCTTTTATTGTGTATTTGGTCCGTATGGTGTCTTTATATGTTGACTGGTGAGGAAATGTCTTATTATCTTGGCAGAATGGAGAATGGCACCTGTTAAGTTATTCTCTGCTCTTTGCCTTGTCTAGTACATTTGATGGGATTTGTTTTTTTTTTGTTTTTTGGATTTTTATAAGAGATGCTTATAGTGCCTCTAGTTAGGATTAATGTGCCAGATAGAGTTATGCATAAGTATCACTTAGCAATCGAAATTAACATGTGTATCATCACGGTGTAGCTGAATATCACATGTTTATACATGGCTGTCTCAGTGAATCTCTGATTTTTGTTTTCGATGCTTCTCTTTTTCTGCCTGATGTTTGGTCTTCTGAATTACTTTTTGGGGTCTGGTTTGAGTTTTCTGAAAGAACGCAGAGAAGAAATACACAGCTACATTGTCTCTGCAACTATACTTGTTTCAGTTATATTATCCTCATCTGGTTGCCTTCATTTTGTTACTTCTATTAAACTTTTGTTGGCTTACTGTCTGCTCTTTATGTTTCATGATAATTAATATTCTTCTCTGCATAAGGTTCTTAATCAAATTTCCTTTAGTTTCTAATTCTTTTGCTTACTGCCATATTTGAGTAATCTTCATTAAGATACATGAGCAGTGTTTGTTTATATGTGTTTATGTATCAGCCGCACCTTTTACTGGTTTTTTCTTGAGCAAAGTTCATGGCATGTTTAATGTTTTAGTTTTTAGCCACAATTTCATTATATTTAACCATACATGTGAAATGTGCAGCTTCTTTGAGTGGCGGTGCAAGCCCTCTGCAAATGCGGGAAAGGATTTATCTTCTAGCTGTTGGTTACTACAGGAGTGGTGACTATGCAAGGAGTAGGCAGCTTGTGGAGCGATGTTTAGAGGTCTGATTTTTGACATTTCATTTCTCCATCTTAAGTGATAGATAAACTAGAAATATCTGTGCTACCAAGGAAATCTATGCATACATAAAGCCATCCGGCTTGAGCAAAGATCTGCATGGTTTCTGCCTTTTTACGTTTTATTGAACCAGCCTAAAAGAAAGGTCTGCATGAATGAAGTGGTCTTACTTTAATAATGTTGATGTTAGAGAATGGAAACAGTGGAATTGTGACATGTTATAAGGCATTCTTCACCATGAAGGTGTTAGTTTTGGATTTAGTACAATGGGTTCATAAGTGGCAATTATTATGCATGCAGATTGCACCTGATTGGCGTCAAGCATTGGGCCTTAAGAAAGCAATTGAGGAGAAAATCACAAAAGGTAGCTTACCTGGTTGCTCTTGAGTTGTGTTTTACTTTGGGTTTCTCTCTTCGTCCCTCTGTAGTGTTAATGTTTCCTGGTTTTCATGTCTTCTTGCAGATGGAGTAATTGGGATAGGGATTGCTGCGACTGCTGTTGGACTTGTGGTAGGTGGAATTGCTGCAGCACTTTCTCGCAAGAAATGATTTCAGAAGTGTAAATCGCCAACTCATGCGTCCATTGTTTATAAAGATCTAGTTTCTCGCGGTAGCACAATACCGAGGAAATGACCCTATATTGCCACACAATGCTGAATCATTAGTTTTTTACTTGCGTCTTAGTTCTTGCTATCTAGTTTATGAATCAATCACTGCTTCGACTTTGAAACAGTTTTTTTCCCTTGAGTTTCATGTTGTTAAAGCCTTGAGTTCTATTTTTATTTTAAGTATCGATCAGAAACTTGTGAAAGTAAGCATAACCCACTGTTGGGATTACTATGTAATAGTTTTGTTTGGACAGGGATGTTTTCTATATGTGCAACTTGCATCTACGCCTGGTTAGTTTTATTATACTGGCACCATGCTGTTATCCTCATCGAAAACTATTTCGTTAAGTATCTCAAAAGTCCTATGAAGCCGGTGGAGTCCTTGCTTCTTGCTCTCAGTTTTAAGAAAATAATTTACATCCTAAATTGTGAATTATATTCAAAACCAGTATACATTTATATGCAGATTTGGAAAGGGGCCAAACTGAAAAGGGAAATCTTTTGTCTGTTTTAGTAGCATGCATCTATCTAGATCAGTGCAGAATGTGGTGATGTTGATCAAGAAGGAAGTCATAATTAGAGTTAATGGGTTGCAAGAGATCAGATTAGTCCATTGCTGAAGAGAAGTGTTGCAGTGTTTCTTTTAGCCTAGGCAGGTTAATGTAGAACTCTGTTAGATTATCATTAAATATACCAAATGTACAAAGCTGAGTAGTAAAATAGAGGTAAAGATGAGACTTTTGGGTGTTTTATTTGATCTATAAAAGTCTTGCATTTCAACCAAAAAAAAAAAAAAACTTGTTTTTGAGATAGAGAGAGAGTATTATGTTAGACTAAAGTCGCTAAATTAATAATTTCAAATATATATTATATATATTGGGAGACTGATATATGAATTTGATACCAAAAATTTGACACATTTTACTGTAAGTTCCCCAACAACAATATGTATAATCTCGGATTTCCTTAATGTATCCTATTACTCGTTCTATTTTAATTGACAATTATTTTGAGATAAATACGATTATTCAAGCATGCCATTGTATTCCAACTTCCAACTTAAAAAAATATCATGGCGGTTTGATAACTTTGGACAATCATTGTAAGTTCCTCAAAGCTTTTTTATTTTTGAAAATCAAGTTCCTCAAAGATCAAATATTGGAAACCACAAAACGAAATACCCAAAATCCAAATGGCTGGCAGTCCAGAGGGTCTGATGGCCTATATTGGAGCCCCGCCTTATTTATCCTACGTGTCATTGAGCTGGAATTAAATCGTGAAATAGCATTTCGCCACCTACTATAATAATGACAATAATAATGAAAAAGAAAAAAGAAGAAGAAAAGAAAGTGATGATTGAAATATATAAAATATTCGTTTATGATTGACTTGGCAGTTGGCAAGAAGAGAATTATTGGATTGTCCGATGTGATTTATTCCAGGAGAAACAAAACTGGTGTGATTGATTGGGTGGAAGATTTCGATTTTCCATGAAGAGAAGAAGAAAGAAGCAGAAAGGAAAGCAAGTTGAGAATTTCAATCATGGGTTTCTCTACAGACAATCTTACAGGGTTTATTCTGGCCCTGCTTTCAACTGGGTTCATCGGAGCCAGTTTCATCATCAAGAAAAAGGGTCTTAGAAGAGCTGCTGCCGCCTCTGGTGTCCGAGCTGGTACTTTGATTGACATTGTCGGGATATCCCTCTTTCTGATGATCAATAATGCCATGTGTTAATCTTGTTATAACCCGCCCCCCTCCTTTTTTCTTTTTTTTTTTTTTGTTTGTTGCAGGTGTTGGTGGCCATTCCTATTTATTAGAGCCTCTCTGGTGGCTTGGCTTGATCACTAGTACGTCGTCAATTGTGATTTGATTTTATCATGCAGCTTACGTAATCAATGTTATTTCGTAGGGGAATTTCCTAAGGTTCAAAGAGCCTTGGGTCTGTATCAAGGGCAAAGTTTCTGTTGTTGGTTTTAGGTTATGGTTTTAGTTTGAAAATGTAAAGGATTGTGCTGGAATTGTGAAAAGCTGTGTTAAGAATGTAAAGGGTGTGTTAGAATACCCAAGATATAATCATTAACATTAACTTTATTTAAATTTCTGGGTAATAAACTGGTTGATATCGTAAAAGGTTGGATGCAGGGATTTTCATAATGTTTAGGATGGCAAAATTCAGGGTTAGTTGAGTTGTTTGTTTGTTTTTGTTTTTTTCTTTTTAAATAATGGATAGTTGAGCTGGAAAAGTCATCATTGACAATTCTTTTAGCTTTGTGCTAATAATGGATTAGATCAAAATGGCTCATCTAGATTCCAGCGTTTCTTAATTTTGGTGAAGTCTGGAAATCAACACATCAATGCACAAATGCATCTTGGGTCGTACTACTTAAACAGCCTCCTCTGTGTTGATATACAGGGGTGAGGCTGCGTACATCTTGACCCCCCAGACCCCAACTAAGTTGGGAATATACTGGGTATGTTGTTGTTGTTGTAATTGTAAATAAAGGATGGTTGAGTTGTTTCTATTGCGTAGCTGATTGTTTATCACCATTGCTCTTGGAAAGAGTACTTTAGTTAATTTATTTCATATGTACTGCACTATTTTTTTGATTACCTCTGACTTTTTTTCCTTTTATATGCTTTGCAAAACAGTGATTGTAGGAGAGGTTGCCAATTTTGTAGCTTATGCATTTGCCCCTGCTGTCCTAGTTACCCCTCTTGGTGCCTTAAGTATAATTGTCAGGTGCTTTGAGTTAATAGATTCAATTCGAATTCTTGAAGTAATAGTGAATACTGTCTCATTATTTCAATGTGCACTCTGCAGTGCAGTTTTGGCTCACTTTATCTTGAAAGAGAGGCTGCACCAACTGGGGGTTTTGGGTTGTGTAATGTGTATAGCTGGTTCTGTCATTATTGTTATACATGCGCCACAGGAACAGTCCATCTCCTCTGTCCAAGAAATATGGAATATTGCTACTCAACCTGGTTAGAAATAACTATTAGTTTTGTCGCGTGCACTTCGACTTATAAGAAGCATTTATAGTTTCTTACACCATCCATCCTTTATAATTTCAGCTTTTCTGATGTACGTGGGATCAGTTGTGGTTTTGGTGTTTATTCTTGTCTTCTATTTTGCACCTCAATACGGCCACACGAATGTGCTCGTTTTTACTGCCATTTGCTCACTCATGGGTTCTCTCTCGGTATATTCATACAATCATTGCTTTTACCATGGCTTTTTCCTTGTATCTTAAATGTTTGAGTATCCTAACATGAAAATCAATCGGTAGACTCATGATGTCTACCTGATTATAATATCTTCAGAAGCAAACCAAATATAATTGATAATTTTAAACTTATCCAGGACATTTGACTTGAGAACTTTTAGTCCTGTGATTTTTGTTTATAGTAACTAGGGAACTACATTTTCAGGAATCGTTCCATTCTGCCTTTTATGGCTTTGTTAGTTTCCTTCACCTATACATAAATTTAATATATTGTGGAGAATCAGTATAAAGTTGGAGAATCGCTCATCTCATTTTATTTTTTATTTTTTTATTTTTGCTTCCAAATAATAACAGATTGCTCTGTGATCCCTCTGAATAAGTTTCTTCGTTTGTTTCCATAAACCATGTCTTTCGTTAGGCAACTTTATTAACATGTTCAAACTTTCTCAACTATTCTTCTCGTTACCATGCTTGTACATAGAAAAAGTTACTAATAATTTAAAGTTAATTCTGCAGGTCATGAGTGTAAAAGCTGTTGGAACTGCAATGAAATTGACTTTCGAAGGAAGAAACCAGTTGATCTATCCAGAAACCTGGTTTTTCATGATTGTTGTGGCTGTTTCTGTCATCACTCAAATGAATTACCTTAATAAGGTAAGTATTAACTTTCAGCAATGCTTAATGAATGTCACGGTTGTTTTGTTTAAAGTGTTATCCAAAATGTTCATATACCAGGCATGTAGTGAGAATCTGAGGGAGAAAAATAAATAATAAAAAGCCACTTTTTCTTCTCTTTATGTTGTCCAGTTGCATTATTTGTTATCTTGAAGTCATCGTCTTTTCATTCTCTTTACTTTTCTTGATTGCTTTTCTTGTTAGTTTTGGAATAGTAATGCTCTGTTTGCTTGAAAACAATGTAGAGGATCTGTATCTTGTGCAGGAAACATAACTCTAGAAACTTCTATCTTTAACCTTCTGTTTTTATTTTTAATACTTTTATTGGTTGCAAAGCATTTAAAACTGGGCTAAACATCACAAATAGCCTATTACATTTGCTTATGTTACAAGGATTTGGTAAAAGTGAATCCAAGGGAAGACCTTTGTTTGAAACATGCATTAGAGTCTTGGAGTCTGGAAAACCATGATTTCTTATTCAAAAAAACTCAACATAAATGAAATTTATCATTGATTATATCCTCCATTTTTCTACTTTCACCTTCTGAAGCTTAAAATCCTGATTTCAATGTTGGAGAACTGACTCGTCAAATTTGAGACCTGCTGCACTTTTCACTAGATACAGTTATCCCTCTCAATCATCATTCTTTTTTTTTATTATTATTATAACGCATTATTTTTTGTGAGTAAATCAAAGGATTGGAGGTATTGGTGCATCGCATCATGTGAAACATTCGATTTAAGTTAACATTTGAACACATATGGTTACTAAAGCTAGAGAGGTAATTCAATTATCTGCTGGCATAACTGTCATATGTTTGCTCGCAGAGCCCATTGCATCCTTACTCCTTGACATAAACATTAGTGTCTGACAAGACAACTGTTCAAGCAGCATTCACCACTTTGTAGTCCTTAAAACAATTATACTGCAGTTGGAGGAATGATTTTTCATTGACAATTATACTGCAGTTGGAGGAATGATTTTTCATTGAAAATACTGAATAGACTTCAGAGCCTTTCGGTTATGAACTTGTAACCATACATTAGAATTGTTTTGAACTTGGGATGGTGGACTTCTACCATCCCAGAGTGAATACCTCTGCTTCATCTGAAATAAAAAAATCTGCTAGTTTTAGCTCAACAGGCCAACACTTCTGAACGGAATTGCAAGAAACGTTTTTGCTAGACCTAGCTCAGCCGTTTTAAGACTTGGGACCCGTATGTGAAACACAATTTCTTTTTTAAAAAAAAAATTCCCTGAACTTTTAAAAAATGACAATAATTATTAGGACTCAGTTTTGACTCAAATAATACAAAGCCATCCTGACACCTGGAGACTGAAGCATGAAATTGACTTCGGTCTGGACATCACAATCTCTCTTGCACTTTTCCTAGGTTCTACTGCCAGAGTGCTAGTTTTTTCTTCATAAGAGCTATCTTTAAATCATTTAGCTGTTGGCAGTGAAAATATAGGTTTCATCGGTGTTAAGTTAGCAGTTCTCCATTAACTTTCAACCTTTTTAAGTTTACCTGGTGGCCAGTTGCTTTGAATGGGGACTGTTGGGTGAAGAGTAGTTTAAAAATATAGCAGATTCCTAGTTTTAGGGGCTCTGGATGCCTGGGTTGAAGGAAATTATTCTTGACACTGACGTTAAATTTTTAAAATATCAATGAGTTTTCTCATAATATGTTGTAAGCATTGGTACAGTGCTAATGCGGCAAACTTGGCTCCGGTTTCAAATATTATACCCAAAACACTGAACATTTGCAATGTCCTTGTTTGGCATGCCAATGAACATCATTAATATGATTTAATGGGTGCCCTGCTCTTTTCTTTTGGACAAGATTTTCATGCCACCATAGTTTGATATGGGTAACGCGTCAGACTGAAAATTGTGGCAAATTTCATCTATTACCTGTATTTTGGCCATTGGATGAAAAGTTAGGGCAGACAGCTACCACACTTATTCTTGTCGCTAAATTATCATGATATATCCTTTATATGAATGGTATTCTGGATGCTGAATTTGGTATTCATGCAGAAGAAGTTTTGTTAACTTCCCCCTCAGCGCTCACTTGCAGCATGTATAATTCTTTCACAGAAGTCAAATTGTTCATTTTTGACACTGATGCTGAAATTCAAGTTATTAACCTTAAACTCACTGATGAGACTCGGAATGAATGTGGCAGAATTGTTCCATCATTCATCCCTGCTGCTGATGTGTTTAACGTTTTGTATGTGCTGGAAATAATGACCATTTCCTTTATTGTTTATGGGGACATAAATCAAAGCTTGAAAGTTTTCCTGGTTGGATATCTCTGGTTTCTGTGGACTTCAATTGTTTGCTTTATCCGACATGGTTTCTTAACCTTTATACAGCATTCTAGTAATTTTCTGTAGTTCTTGTACATTAATGATACTTGATTTTTCAGGCCCTTGACACCTTCAATACTGCTATTGTCTCTCCCATATACTATGTCTTGTTCACCTCATTGACAATTGTAGCAAGCATCATTATGTTCAAGGTAACACTTAATCCAATGTGACTATATTTTAATACTTTCCTTTACGGCACCTGCCTATATTTTAGAAGTTGATTTAAAATAGCTGTTCTAATGTGTTTGGAGACAAGATATTAGCTGAAGTTCGAGAGTCTGTTAATTAGTCTTCGTATATAGCTTTACCTGAAAACCAGTTCTGCCCTATTCTTTTTGCTTCCTGAAAGTTCCCCACATCTCTCATTTATAATGTTTACCATCGTAGCAAGCAACATTATGTTCAAATTACCATTTGTTTCAATATCGTAACTTTTAAGATTTTCCTTCTGGACTTCCCTCTAATTTTGATTGCTCTGAAAGCTGATTCGAAACTGCTGGGGAGAATTTCTTGACTATTTTTATGTGATTACATGAGTTACTAGCTGAAGTCGAATGGCCTATTACTTGGTCTGGAATATTGGTTTACTTGAAAGCTGGTTCTGCCAATATATCTTCCTTTGTTTTTTCTGTTTTCCCCTGGGAATGCACGTATTTTCTATTTCCTCAGCTATCTATTCATTTAGGCAATGTCACTTGTAGGATTGGGATGGTCAAAGTGCTGGCAGCATCATATCAGAAATTTGTGGCTTTATTGTCGTTCTCTCAGGTACCATCTTACTACATGTCACGAAGGACTTTGAGAGAAGCTCGTCATTCAGAGGTAGAAATTAATTTTTTTTTTCCAAATTTTAATGCCAGTACATGACAGTCTGTTTGAGTGAGATTTCTTACTTAATCATTATGGATTGAAGGCAACTACACGCCTCTGTCACCTACATTGTCTGCTAGCCTATGTAGTTCAAATGGGGAACTACTAAAGCATGAAGAAGAAGAAGAAGAAGGGCAGTTGTCCCAAGAAGTCTGTTCAAGAAGACAAGAGTTTTATGTTTAAATTATATCTTTTGAAAGGATTGGATATTCTACACTTCAACTTCACCAAGTGACCTGCTGAAAATTTTGCCAACATCTCGGGGTCAGGTAATTTGGACTTAATTGATGAAAAGGTTCATTGCTGATTCTCTTTGAAAAAATTGCATTGGAAAAGGTTGATGCTGTTTGTTGGAAACCGATGCCCTTTCAAAGCCATTGCCGTTTAGCAGGATATTCAGGTTTCTGCAAACATACAATGGTAGCAGGTTGGTGTGTTGGCTGCAGCTTATACTGGAAAATTTGAGGCTATTTGTGACATAAGAAATGAGGTTGTTAGCATCGTGTAAATGAGGGTATAGGAAAGTTGATATACATGATTGTGAAAAAAATACGTCATTGTAGTGTTTTGAAAGAAAATACAAATTTCAGTACAGCTTCTCTACCATTGGAATTATCTATTTATAAGCTGATGTAGTTATTGCTACCTGTCACTCACTGCTTTGCCTCATTCATCCTTACGACTAGGATTATCCCTATTTCCACAACCAGCCTTTGCCAATGCTATAAACACCATGGCACCATGACGCAAAATTGGTGGTGAAGAAAAGTATTTATTGTTACAGGATTAAGTTCTAGCACAAACACAGATCTCACTGCACAAAAAATTATAAATGATCATACAAATTCCACAAACGATCTGATTGCAAATGTTGCTCATTGCCTACAATAGAGCAACCTTAACAGACGAGGTCATGATTGAAAAAGACCACGAAGACAAGCCTATATTGTCCGGAAAACCTTCTCGGCCGCAGCTATTGTCTGCTGAATATCCTCTGAAGTATGTGCTAAACTGGTGAATCCAGCCTCAAATTGAGAAGGAGCAAGGTAAACACCTTCTTCAAGCATCCCTCTGTAAAATCTACCGAATTTCGCAGTATCACTCTTCTTTGCATCTTCAAAGTTATAAACAGGGCCATCAGTGAAGAAAAACCCAAACATCCCTCGAATATACCCTCCGCAGATTGCATGACCAGCCTTCTTTCCAGCATCCACAATTCCTTGAATGAGTTCACTAGTGATCTTGTCCAAGTAGTCATATGAGCCTGGTTCTTGTAATCGCTTAAGTGTGTGGATTCCAGCAGTCATTGCCAAAGGGTTTCCACTTAGTGTCCCGGCCTGGTACATAGGCCCCGATGGTGCCACCATCTCCATGATATCCCGCCTTCCTCCATATGCACCAACTGGCAGGCCACCACCAATGACTTTACCTAAAGTAGTCAAATCTGGAGTTATGCCAAAATACTCCTGCGCTCCACCGTAGGACAAACGAAAACCGGTCATAACTTCATCAAAGATGAGAAGAGCTCCATTGTCCTTGGTGATCTGGCGCAAGGCCTTGAGAAAATCAGGCGTAGGAGGAATAAACCCAGCATTTCCCACAACAGGCTCAAGAATTATGGCAGCAATACTTCCTTTATTTGCCTCGAAAAGCTTTTCAACAGTTGAGATATCATTGTACGGGGAAGTTAATGTTTCAGAAGTAGCTGCTTTTGGGACACCAGGTGAGTCAGGGAGACCAAGGGTGGCGACTCCACTGCCTGCTTTAACAAGGAACGGATCTGCATGGCCATGGTAACAACCCTCAAACTTTATTACTTTCTCCTTGCCTGTGAAAGCTCGAGCCAACCGCAAAACACCCATACATGCCTCAGTTCCGGAATTGACAAAACGAACCATTTCAATGCTTGGTACTGCTGAAATTACCATCTCTGCTAAAACATTTTCCAGCAGGCATGGGGCACCAAAGCTGGTTCCTTTCTTCATTGTCTCAGCCAATGCAGAAAGTACCTATAAATTGGATAAGCAGAATATAAGCAGAAAGTCTAGACATACCATATTAACAACTCCCCACAGCCTGTTTTCTCTTTCCGGCTAACTAGAAGCAGCAAGCAGTGGAAGCTACTCAAAAAAAGGATTCTTCTGCCAGATGTTAAATCTATGCTATCACACAAATTGCACGTGAATGTCAATTTTCTCATAGACAGCTTAAAAGTGTCACATAAGACAATGCGACATATTAACAGAAGGTTAGTTCACTCTAAAGGCTACACCTGTTAATCAAATAGTAAGACGAGTATAATGAAGTAGAGGAGTAACCTTGTCATCTGCATGACCAATGATGGCAGGTCCCCATGAACCAACATAGTCGATGTATTCATTACCATCTATGTCCAACATGCGGGAGCCTTTGACAGAATCAAAAACAATAGGCTGTCCACCAACTGATTTGAAAGCACGTACAGGGCTATTTACACCTCCAGGCATGAGTTCCTATTTAGTGATAAAAGATACATCCACCATATACTTCGATCAGAACACAAAAATTGCAAAAATTAAGATAAAGTGGGAACAAAAAAGGCAAAAGACTTACAGATAAAGAGTAAAAAATGACAAAGATGAGTTGAAATATTCAGGCAAATGGGGACGGGCTTGCCACAAGTAACACTAAAATTGAAGCGTTCACACAGTACTCCAGACGGGTTCAAGCAAAATTCATCTTAAACAGGAACTGAGTAGCGTTTACAGTAAATTGCAACAGCATTATTCATATTTTCCTGATTAGAAGCTTCAATAGAGTTGTAAAACACCAAATCATGTCGTACATCACATTCCAGCTTATCGAGAAAGAATTGAAAGAGAACCGGTGAAAACCATCTTTGCAAAAGCTAAATAACAAAATTCTCATGTTGCAAATTGCTTAAAGCTGATTCGCCGTAAGGAAGTTCTGAAACTACCAAATACAACAGTTTGTGAAAGAAGTCTACTAGAAAAGTCATACATGTTAAACATGAATCACATTCTGAATAACTGCGCTTGCAAAGCAAGGAAGGAGCAATTTGCTAGGGGTTCTCATTTCTAACTAGGCATTAGAAATTTGACAAATCTACCCCTTGACAAAACCTTCATAACACAGATGCCCGAATAAAAATCAAGTTTAGACGTTAGTAAGTTTCATTTTGAATCTTCTGTACACTAGTACAATTTTAATGATGTTTTCACAAACGATTAGTTTTGAAGGCCCGAACATTGAAACAACAATTTGTTAGGAGTTCCTAGAAGACGAAAGAAAAAGACCCCATGTTAGCTCATTATTACCATATCTAGAGTCCGTCTTGATCACAAACCACATCCATTTCTCAAAGAAAAGGGAAAATTTTGATGCAATGCGAAAACCTAGTTTACTCAAGTCATCTTCCAAACAGCACCATAATATTCTAGACTTCTTTGGCTCCTGGTCCCAAATTTCTGACACCTTTTTCTCAATTCCATTTTTATTTCATTTACATAATCAGGAAGCACCTCTTGCATCAAACCACATTCTAAATTTAGTCAAAATCTGGCTTAAACTGCAGGAAAATTGGCGCAAATGGAGCTCATAAAAAGCCTCTTTAGTACAGCAAAAGGTACTGTTGCCCTAGACGTGCACATCATCAAAAACCTAACAAATTCCATCCATAATCAAAATTCCTAGAAAATGTAACCAAGAAAAGTAACTACTAACTTCTCATACACAACCCTGCTTTGAACAGCAAAAAATGATCCAAAAAAAAATCAAATAAGAATTCATCAGTAACCATATCATCGTACCTTGGCTTTGTTGAAAGCTTCTTCAGACTTTTGAAGGGTGTAAGCCTTTTTCTTCTCATCCACAGAAGTAACAGCCATCTTAATCTTAAACCTGCCATTATTGCTGTGGCTCGAAGAATTAACAGAGGAAGACGATGGGCGTGACACCAACCATCTGGGCTGCACCACAACTCCAGACATCAGACCAGACATTTTCCTCAAGTTCAGCTGCTGCTTCACCTGTAAAGAGTTCTTCTCTCCTCTTTTGACGTAAAATACAGATTGAAGTTAGAAATCATCATATTATCATCATCATTGTTGTCAAATGTATAATTGGATCACAAGACAAACCCATTTACATGAGCTAAGTATTATTATCTTCGAAGAGGAAGAAGATGAGAGAAGAAATTTTACCTCTTTATGTGAGGAAGAACTTGGAATGAAAAGCGCAGGAGAAAGTGCAGAGAAAAGGATAGAGAAGGGAAGAGAGGGTCTGGATTGGAATTTTTCAGAATTGACTCCAAATCCTTTCACGTGATTTTTCTTATCCAAATTGCGTTCATAGGCCCCATCTATGCAAATAATGCTCACTTCGTCATATTTTAAGAATTGGTCATTCCACACCCTATTGGATTAAGTGATTTTTAGAATACACAATACAAATGCTAAGTAATAAAATTAATTATCATGCATGTAAAAATTATGAGGTTTTAATAGATGTGTTCGAGAATTTTTTTTTTCAAAAAAAACTAAAAAAGCAAATTTATGTTTAATAATAATTCTATATAAAAAAAAGGTCATTATAAAAGATATAAATGCATTAAAAAAATCAAAAATTAATCATATGTTAGTTTGTGAATTGAAAAAAATATAAAATAAATATACTCAAAAACTAGTTATGCTACCGAATAAATATGGAATAATCATTATAATATTAGTAATATGAACATAATATATTTCATAAATCAAAATACACTCGATGATAAATACCTCTCTCTCATTATTATTATTATTTATTATTATTATCATTGTTGTTGTTGTTGTTGTTGTTTTGAAAAGGTACCTGTATAGTAATTACGAATAAGTACCTAAACTATTACAACGAATTTCATAGAATGCTAAATTTGTAACTCTACAATATCGTGTCTACTCACTTTTGTCAGAAAGCAAGATTGAAATAAAGAAATAGTAGTCATTAATAAGAAACGACCTCCAAGGCCTCAGAACTAGAAGGGTGTAACACCAACCATCAAACGATCTCCAGTCAAAGTTTCGGAGTCCGTGTAAACCTGAAGTCAAGTGACCCCCAACTGCATTGCTTCCTTCAAAACTAGAGGCAAGTCATTGCCTATTCTTGAAGAGGAGAAAGTACATATAAGTCCACCATTTTGATACGCATCACCATGCCGTGAGGTGATATTATTTTCCAAGCGTCAGTCGCCTTCTTCGATTAATGGTTATATGATCCATCAAATATAAGTAAGGAATCTGTTGGACCCCTAGTCGGTTATATATTAGCTAAAGATTTTCTTGCCCTAAATCTACTTTGGTTTTGTTTATGGAGAGTCTCTTTAGATTGAATAAGTATCCAATATACTGCCGGGTCATTAGATTGATTCCTCCAAATCTTATCGTTCCACTCCAACTAAATTCTCCAAGTGATGATAAAAAAAAAAAACAAATGAACCTCCTCTTTAGTGGATGAATCATTGGTGCAAGGAGTCATATTTGAACTAAATATAGAGCCAAACAGAGGAAAATCCAAGGCCCAGATGGCCTGAGAGTTTTCACACTTAAAGAATAAGTCTAAAATATCTTCCTCCTGTCTAACACATCTAGGGCATAATGATTCCACATGAACTCCCCGTTTGTAACTTCATAGAATGCTAAATTTGTAACTCTACAATATCGTGTCTACTCATTTTTGTCAGAGAGCAAGACTGAAATAAGAAAATAGTAGTCATTAACAAAGAAACAACCTCTAGGGCCTCAGAAGGTATTAAAGCGGACCGTAAATCTCCAATCAAAGTTTCGCAGTCCGTGTAAACCTGAAGTCAAGTGACCCTCAACTACATTGCTTCCTTCAAAGCCAGAAGGCAATAGAAAGTCCATCATGCCGTGATTTGCATCACCATGTAAGTCCACCATTTTTATTTGCATCACCATGCCATGTGGTGATGTTATTTTCCAAGCGCCAGCCGTCTTCTTTGATTAATGGTTATATGATCCATCAAATATAAGTAAGGAATCTGTTGGACCCCTAGTCAGTTATATATTAGCTGAAGATCTTCTTGCCCTAAATCTACTTTGGTTTTGTTTATAGAGAGTCTCTTTAGATTGAATAACTATCCAATATGCTGCCGGATCATTAGATTGATTCCTCCAAATCTAATCATTCCACTCCAACCAAATTCTCCAAGTGATGATAAAAAAAAAACAAATGAACCTCCTCTTTAGTGGATGAGCTGAGTCCATCTGATGAACCATTGGTGCAAGGATTCATACTTGAACCAAATATAGAGCCAAACAGAGGAAAATCCAAGGTCCAGATGGCCTGAGAGTTTTCACACTTAAAGAATAAGTCTAAAATATCTTCCTCCTGTCTAACACATCTCGGGCATAATGATTCCACATGACTCCTCTTTTGCATAGTTCTGACCGTATAGAAAGTGTATTAAGTAGTGTTCTCCAGTAAAGCAACTTGTACTTGGGTTGAATTCCAGAATTCCAAAGTCGTTTCCATGCTAACTTCTCTGCATTCAGGATTTCTAGACTTGGGGTAGGTTGTGGGAGGAGAGCATTGATGGCCAAATTATACCCTGATTTGACTATATAATTTCCATGTTCTGTAAGTATCCATTGGAACTTGTCTTTTTTATCCAGTCTTATTAGATCTAGAAAAATTCCAGTAATGCGGGAGATAATAAGGTCTTGGAAAAAAGTTTTAAAGAGCATGAATCCTTCATTGACCATTGTGCTTATCAAAACGATCCACAGTCAAGTTGGACGTAATTAAAATGGAATGAGCACCAATCAGATTCTGAGTGTTAGGAATCCAATTTGGTATACAGAGGGTGTCCTTCCCTGAAATTACCTCCTATTTAGTATGGTTTTGTAGAAGCTCAGCTCTCCACAGTATGCTCTTGAATCCTCAAGATAAATTGTTTGGAGACTGCGTTTGAGAAAAAAACACCATTTCGTAATATTTGGCTCTGTAAGGCCTAGAGATGAGAGAATCCGGGACATACATTATTTTCCATGCATGTTTGGTTGAAGTGCCTGATTAAATTCCCTGGTGAAGTTTAAACTAAGTCCTCCATGTAATCGGGATTTGGTTACCTTCTTCTAAGACCTCCGGTGTATTTCTTTAGATAAACTATCTCCTTTCCAGATGAATTGAGCAATAATGTGATCATCTTCATGCAAGGTTGAAGTAAAAGACACCCGTTGGATAAACTAACATGGCTGATAGGGTTGATTTTGCAAGAGTTATCCTTCCACCAAGTGACAGGAGCTTTGTCTTCCAGTCCGCAAACTTGTTATGTAATCTGGAGGTAAAGGTTTGGAAGATTACCTTCTTCTTCTCTTTAAAATCCAGTGACATGCCTAAGTACTTGCTGTGAAATTGTTTCTTAGAGATTGCAAGGTGGCATGTATGAAGGACTTCATTTGAGGAGTTGTGTTTGAGCTGACTGGTATGGAAGATTTAAGGAAATTTATCTTCTGACTAGAGAAAGCCACATATTTTTCTATTAGTCTTGGAAGGGTAAGGGTTGAGCTTTCTCTACATTCAATGAAGAATAGACTGTCATTCGCATAATCAAGTGACTAATTCGCGCGACATTTCGACTTATCTTTACACCCAAACCTGGAAGCATTTGAATCTCAGCTCTTATTGCCGAAGATAGAACCTGTTGACACATAATAAAAAGATAGGAAGATAAGGGACAACCTTGTCATAGTCCTCTTGTAGGAGAGAAAAATGGTAGACCTTCACCATTGAATTGGATGGAATAGGAGACAAATGTGACGCAGAACATTATCAAAGTAATGAGATAGGGAGGAAGACCAACTTTTGTAAGAATTGCTTGAATGAAAGACCACAAAACTCTATCATACTCTTTACTCATGTCCAGCTTGATCGATGCCTAACCTAGATCACCATCTCTTTTCCTTAAGGATTCAATCACCTCATGAGCAATAAGTATATTTTCACTAATATTACGTCCTAGTACAAACCCATTTTGGTGCTCATCAATCAAGTCATTCATCACATTCTTCAATCTGTTAGTGATCATTTCGGTAATGATTTTGTACTTTATATTACAGAGACTTATTGGTCTGAAATCACTAAGCATTACCAGGTTGGAGATCTTTGGGATGAGAACAACATTTATTTGATTCCATTCCTAGGGGAACTGTTGTCTATTGATGGCATCCAGAATGGTGGATTCTACCTCAACACCAACTATATATATACTTATATCTTTGATAAAAGCCTATTGGCATTCCATCAGAGCCTGGTGATTTCTAAGGGGAACATATGCTTGATTGCATCCCAAACTTTTGTAGCTGCGAAGGGTTCCTCTAGAATAGATGCTTGTTGAGGGATTAGACATTCATCAACATTATCTGAGAGTTTTCTAAAAAAAAAAAGAGATGCTTGGGAAGTTGTTTCTGATTGCCCATAGATACCAAAAAAATGTTGTTGGATCAAACTACCCATTTGTGAGGGAAAATGAAGCCATTCGCCTACCTCAGTCTTTAACTCCGTGATCCATTTGTTTTCCTTCCTTCTATTTGCCCATTTATGATAAAAGTTTGAGTTTCGATCCCCTGGTAAAGGCCAAATAAACTTTGCCCTTTGATGCCAGTAGTCATGTTGATGTTGTAATGCCTCCTATAAAGCAATCCTTTGTTGTTGCAGTTGGTCAAAAAGATCATTTTGACATGGATTAGCCTCTCATCATTTTTGTAAGGCTGTAACCTTCTCAGACAGTGTAAGGACCAATTTTTCAACATTACCAAAACTATCCTTGCTCCGATTGTGAGGTGAAGTCACACTCTTTTGCAGCTTGTAAGAAAAATTCTCTTGATGATCTTCTACGTGTAAACCTTCCTGAGACCATGTTGAGTGAATCTGCTGAGATGATTGAGGACAGTTGGTCCAAAATTGTTCAAATTTCTTACTTCTCCTGGTATTTTGATTTTTGTCCTTCAAATGGGCCAAAATAGGTCCATGGTCTGAATCCATTATAAGAAGGTTCCTGGTAATTGCTTTGGAGAAGTGTGTCAACCATTGTCTGTTAACAAAAGCGCTATCTAGTCTTTCAAAAATGACCTCTTGATTGTGTCTTTTATTGATCCAGGTGTACCAGCAACCAATATGCTTTAGCTCTTCAACATCATTCTGTGAAATAAAATGACAAATCTTTCTTGTATCTTGCTCTCCTACTAGCCTTCCTCCATACTTGTCTTTTAGGTTGATAACTTGATTAAAGTCTCCTAAAATGATACATGGATACT